CCACTGTTTCCCCATCTATTTGCCATGAAGTGATGGGACCAGATGCCATGATCTTAGTTTTCTGAATGTTGAGCTTTAAGCCAACTTTTTCACTCTCCTCTTTCACTTTCATCAAGAGGCTCTTTAGTTCCTCTTCACTTTCTGCCATAAGGGTGGTGTCATCTGCATATCTGAGGTTATTGATATTTCTCCCGGCCACCTTGATTCCAGCTAGTGCTTCGTTCAGCCCAGCGTTTCTCATGATGTACTCTGCATGTAAGTTAAATAAGCAGGGTGACAATATACAGCCTTGACGTACTCCTTTTCCTATTTGGAACCAGTCTGTTCCATATCCAGTTCTAACTGTTGCTTCCTGATCTGCACACAGGTTTCTCAAGAGGCAGGTCAGGTGGTCTGGTGTTCCCACCTCTTTCAGAATTGTCCACAGTTTATTGCGATCCACACCATCAAAGGCTTTGGCATAGTCAATAGAAATAGATGTTTTTCTGGAGCTCTCTTGCTTTTTTGTTCATACTCTTAATGTCTTAATTTCCACTTTTCCTCAATATTTCCTCACGCTTTCTAAACACATCTTGCCTAAAATTAGTCCTCAGTGCTATTGACAAAGTCCTGGAACCACAGAAATTCTGACATTTTTACTTCTTCTGAACTCTTTCACTGTTTGTTTGATTTCCTAAAATTGCATTCAACTAATTTGTGAATAAGGTAGTAGGTGGATTTCAATGTATTTAGAATTCATTCATTTGAACCATAATTATACTTCCTAATAATTAACCACATTAATGTAACTATGCATGTATACCTATCAATGGATCTATCTAGCTAATGGCTCTATTTATAACTTTTATAACCTATTTACTAAATCGTTTTAATATATATATCTTGGCTGTGCTACTTGGCTTGGCAATTTCAGTTCCCCAGCCAGGGATTAACCTGGGCCACGGCAATGAAAGGGCTTTCCTGGTGGATCAGTGGTAAAGAATGTGCCTTTCAATGCAGGAGATGTGGGTTCGATCCCTGGGTCAGGAAGATTCCCCTGGGGAAGGAAATGGTAAGCCACTCCGGTATTCTTGTCTGGAGAATTCCATGGACAGAGGAGCCTGGCAGGCTACAGTCCATGGGGCTGCAAAGAGTCAGACAAGACTGAAGCCACAAGCATGCACACACGTGCAACAATGAAAGCACCAAATCCTAACCTCTGGACCACCAGGGGACGCTGCTACAGTCTATTTACTTATATTCCCCCAAAGCCTAGAGAAAATGTCCATATATGGGAAATGAACACACTGAGCAGTTCAAGTATTTTAAAGATTAGTTGAAGTTCAGACACCAAACTATTCAAAATGTTTCTAAAAAACTTTCTGCCTCTATTTTTTTGTCATTTAAAGTACAGTGTTGATGCCAATCTCATATTTTCCCATATTAACCACTTTTCCTCCAGTTTCCCCCATCTTGGTAAATGGAATCTTCACCTACGCAACTGCTCATGCCAAATACCTAAGAGAGTCTTTCAATTATTAATTTCTATTAGCTTTGCTTCCCACATATATCTCCAATCTAGTCACTGTATCCTATCTCCACTAACATCACCCCAGTCCAACAGTTTCCTCCACTTCCTCATGTGCAAAATGGCGATAACAAAAGTACCTTCCTCATAGGACTACTTTAAATACTAAATGATACACTTGAAACACTCTGAACAATGCCCAGACTGTTTATTATGCACCATTTGAGGCAGTATAGTTGTCACCATTGTTATTGTAACTGCTTCTTCATCTGAGACGCTTCATTAGCCCCCAACTCATCTCATCCACTTTTATCTCCCACCTGTCCATCTGCATCCATCATGCAGGGGAATTTTTTTAAACTGCATCGTTGATATACCACTTCCTTGGCTAAAACTTTTTAATGATTCTTACAGCTCCAATAAGACGCAGGACTCTGAACCAGGTCTATAATAATCCCACCCACCGCCCATTTCACAGCCTCCTCTTGCATGACCATCCCCCTCGCTCAGTGTGGTCTCATGGTACTGATCTTCATACATTCCTCAAGCATGTCAACCCCCTTCCATTCTGCCATGGACAATTTGCATACTAGCTCCAATCTCCACCCTGATTACCTGGTAAACTTCATTTAATCCTTCAAATATCAGAGTTGTATCTTATTCTCTTCCTCAGAGAGCTCAAGGCCTCATTTTTCAGGCTCTAAAAGCAACCCCTTCTTTTCCTTCATAGAAGTTATGAACATTTTAATTTTTAAAATATTTTCTTAATCAGTTGTTTAATATTTGCCTCTGTCATTAGATGGTAAGGGTCTTAACAGCAGAGACTGTATCCATTTGTTTATTGCTGTGTCCCTACTGCCTGAGACATAGGATCTTAATGAATAGTGGGTGAGTGATGGTTGAATCAAAGAATAAATATTAAACTCGGAAGACAATTGTGAGTATAAAATGAAATAGCAAATCATTTCTGGCTAGGATAGTCAAATGCATCAAAACTTGGTTAGTTTCAGTTTACCATTAAAAAAATTAAATAAAAATGACCAATAAAATGTTCATGCAAGCCCCCAGAAAAAGAATAATGGTTACTGGAATTTTCTCTTCCCTTCTGATGTCCCTTTACTACAAGTACATATGCTCTCTATATATACAGATGCTGTTTTACTAAAATTGCATATTTAAAATAGTATCAATTTCATGAAAAAAAAAACAACACTTTTTAAAACAGAAAACAAAGTAAGAAGATACCTGGAAGGCCACCCAGGTAAGTGGCCACTGTTCCTTTCATTGCTTCATCCAAGAGGGCAAATTGTCTTTGAAAGTCTTCAGAGTGGAAGCTATCCTTTGTAAGTTGGGTTGATAGTTCCAAATTGTTTCTGTTGATTCTGATTTCCAGAAAGGTTTGCTGATCGGAACATAGACTTATGGCCTGTATCCGAGCTATTACCGTACTTTCAACAGATACCAGGATATCCTGAAGAACAAAGACTCATTATAAACAAATACTAACAGTAACGCCAATTAAAAGAGATTTTGGTTTTTAAAATTCAAGAAACTGAATTTCAATGAGGTGGGGAAAATATGATCGAGCCTTCAAGTTTAGATGAAAAAACTTCTATTATCATAATCATTATTTTTGAATATATATTAGTTTTACAAACTCCAGGTTTAGCTAAGATGTGAATGTACAGCAGGTTCTGAAAATTCAAGAAACCAATGGGAACTTAAGTAGTATCTTAAGCAACAAATTTCTTTTTATGAGCCTTCCCAATTTTAAAACTTACATACGGAAAAGGAAGGAGTTGAATCATTCTTTGTTGGGGAAAAGACTTAGAAAACTTAAAGTGCTTTAGTAAGCACATCCAGCAAGACTGAAAGGTTATTTGTGCCACACAAGAAATCCTGTAGACTTGGGACAAACTGAGTGACATCTCTGAGAAAGAAAAACCAGGACTGTTACAGAGTATTTATCAGAAGGTTCTCAAATATATATACATACATATATATGTGTGTGTGTGTGTGTATTTATTTTCAAATGTTTTAAACTGCTGTGATACACTAAATTAACTCAACTTGCCAAGAGTCATCTATGCAGATAGCTTACCAGCATATAGAGGAAATATAAAAAGGAAGAGAAAATAAAATCAAAACTAAGGAGGTGGGTGTTATGCTGCTTTCCAGATAGCAGAAACATAGTCTGAAGTATTTACAGAAACACATAAAACATAGACAAGGTAAAATAAATATCAAGGATGGCACGTGTTAACCTCCTCTACTATTCTGAATGTAGTGTTGAAGGCAGGATTTCCGTTTTGCTTTTAAAAAAACCAAACAACTGAAACCCAAATGTAGCAAGCTCCTGTAGTCTATTGAAGACAGAACTTAACAGGATTTTTTTCAGGTTGCTTATAGTTAACCATCAGAAACTCCCCACAACCATCCCTTAAGTTGCAAACAGCATCTCTTTTTATCACTATAGGCATTATTCAATTATATGTCTCTTTCTAAAAGTCACAGAGAACATCCAAGTCAACCATGGCACAAATGAAAGCTACTTGAGGAAACTTGTTGGAATACACTGTGGATGACACAATGATAGAATTATTATTCTCTAATAGAAGGCTGAATAATACAGACCTTCTGATAACTCTCATATTTTCTTTTATCTGAGAGTGTTTTCTGTTCTTCCTTCTAATTTCAAGGCAGAATTGCCAGTAGGAAGCCAAGTAGACTGGTTTTAGTTTTCCCTAGTCTTTTCTAATTTACTTATGGGAGAAAAGATTAAGAGTATCAGAAAGCACAAAAAAGTATAATTAGACACTGAATATTTCAGAGTGGATTGCAATCAAACTCACTTTTATTCTGTTAGTACAGATAAATTCCCATGATACTTCAAAGATTCCGAATAAGGGCAGATCTCCATGTACTCAGAGAAGGCTCCTAGCAGCCTTTGTGGGAGTCTGCCTAATCTAAACTATAGATACAATACACAGGTTTTTCCATTCTCCCCTATCCCCTTACTGCTCAGTTCAAACCTTGGAAATAATCCAGCAAAAAAGTAACAATAATGAATATTTATTCAATCTTTAATGACATGCCAACTAATTTATGTAAGTTATCTCATTTTCAAAACACCACTTTGAGGTAAACACTGTTATTCTATCCATTTTACTGATTTTTAAAAAATTACAAAATAAGAATCATAAAGGTTCAGAGTAAAGTTACCTGAAGCTTTTCAGTGGCGGAATCCACCAAGGACAAGGCAAAGGGCACTGTGTCACCGGAAACCAAGGCCAACATAACACCGGTGCCCGCTGATGGGCGAATATTCAAGGACGCATTGATTTGCCAAGCCTCAGGATTGGATTCATTCTCTGTTTAAACAATGAAACAGAAGCAGAATCAATGTACTCCTAAGTGCACCAGAAGAATTAGCTATAATCTTATTAATATTCAAAGCCATCCTTGAGTGATATTAAAGAATTTAGTTCTTTCACAATGATCTATATAACCTAGGCAAAACAGAGCAAGAGAAAACAGTTTTTAATGCAGGCAAGAAACACACAGATGTTCTCATCCTTTAGTTCTTCCTACAACAGAATTCTGGATTGTGGTGTTTAGAATTATTGTGAATTTTCCATTTGCTCTTTAACAGCTCTCCCTTCTGCCTTACATATTCTCCAATGCTCAAATCTCAGAGTGGTTGTATTTTAAAATACAAGAAAGCAACAAACTTATTGTAATATTTCTGAGGGAAAATCTGAGTACAGCTGCCAACCCAGCCCAGTACTTCTCTTCCTTATAGGAGTCAGGTTAGAGCAGTGGGAAAGAAAAATCTGATCCCTATACAAAGGGGTGTGGGATGGTTTGATAATAGAGAAATATTCTGAAGTCAACAGTTAACTGTGAATTCTAATAGGAACTCTTCTGTAATTCTCTTGTCATAATACTTAACATTCTTTTCCTTAATTACTAGGTCAACAGTCTACACAACTAGAGTGCAAACTCTGCAAGTCTCTTTTTACTGCTTTCCTCAGTAATCACTTAACAAATATTTGCTGAATTAGTATGATTTCAAAAGAGCTTGATTTCTAATAATTTGAAATAGTTTGTAAACTAATAATCTGAAAATATTAGCTTAAGATCTGAATGAAGTCTTCATCATTTAATACAAAGAAATGTATAACAATAGCCCAAATACCACTTTGAGGCTTTAAAAGGGTAAATGTGAATGGAGAAAATAATTCTCCTTTGACAAGATGTTCTTCCATTTAGCCACATCTAATACTATTACATTTTTCACTATAATCCTTTAAATTCCACCCAAGAGGAAAAAAAAAAAACCTGTATAATCATTTTGAAGTAAGGAAATTTACTGTAGGACATTAACTCAAAATGAACATGCAGATGTGGAGAAATTATAATGTAACATTAAATATTAATTATAAAGTATGCCACATTTATGCTATCTATGAAACAACTAGTTAGTTACTTATGAAAGTAAATTCAGGTACAATAAAACTATTTTCATTTTCTTTTCAGAGCTTTTCTTCCATTGGAACAAATTATCATGGGCCTAGTTTTTTTCTATATTCAATCATCAACTCAATTAATGTATTTTTTTAAAAAATCTTTATATTCAGAACAGAGCTAAAGTTAATGAAATTGTATTAATTTACATTAAAAAAACAGAAAGCAATAGTAAGATGCTTCCTTAAAACCATAGTAATACTTTTAAGGCTGCAAATAAAGTTAAAATATGACTTTTTCTTAAATCAGAGATATTCAAATTAACCCTAAATTCATACTAAATACTGTTAGTAGCTCAAATAATGAACTCAGAAAATGACAGAGAAGTCAACAAAATAATTAAGATACACAAATACCTAATAAAAATATGGTGAGATATTCAATTTCAATAGAAACTGGGATAATTAAAACTACAAGATTTACTTTTTCAACTAATTAGAAACAAATCTTGAGCATAAACTTTCTTCTGTTGGTAAAAGTATAAATTGATAAAGAGAGGTCCTCTGGCAAACCAACCATTACCCTAAGCACAGGTATATTAAAGGAATTTGGAGGGTAGTCATGAAAACAAGGAAAGGTAAGCAGCTTAACTCTTGATTGATTCAAGCCCTCTCATTAAGAATCTAGCAAATGGACAGATATGCTTATCTTCAAATGTTAATATAATTTATCTCAGTCTCTACTGTTTTATCTGACACCCATCTTTAAGCCAAAAGTTATTAAAAACAGAAGAAAAACAACCCAATGTCAAGAGAAAAAGCAAAAAAAAAAAAAAAAGAGAGAGAAAAAGCAATCATTATGGCCAGTTTTAGATATGACACAGATTTAGTTTCAATTCAAAACAGCAAGGAATTTTTGCTATTTGTTAATGAAAATTTAAACATTAGTGAGAAGAGAAAGATACAATATGAGATCACTTACTATAATCTATGCTAAACTGAGCAACTCCAGTACCAGGATAGTAGGAACCCCTCTCCACAGTGACAAGACAATGTTTATTTTGTTTTTCTTGAATGATTTCCTTTACTCCTGAAGTTCCTTGATTCATCAAATTCCAGCCTCGAATACATCCATCTAGACGAGGGTTAATCTAACAATATAAAATATAGGCCAATGAATGCATTTTAAACTTAAAAAAAGGGGGCTTTGTTGATTATATTACTATGTTTATTGATATTACTATACTTATTGATTATATTACTGGATACAGATTTTCATTTAAGGGCAAAATTCTTCTTTGATGACATTTTAAAATATTTAGAATTTTATCTAAATTTTTTCCAAGGTCTCCTACAGATGACAGTCTTTGTCAGTAAAAGTGCGTTTATAACATCAGAGACCTTCACTGGGATCCTAATGATTTTTAACATCTATCCTAATGATTTTTAACACCTCAAGCCCCACCTGCCTCTCCTGTATCATCCGGCACTAACTTTTCTGCTCTCTAGTTCCACGTATGCTTGTAGCTGTGGCCCTGTGTTCTCAGCTGCTTTTGTTTTTTGTTAACTGTATTTACAACATAGGTTTGTCTTGCCATCAAACACTAAGCCTTTTCAGGAACAGAAGTGTTTTGCATTCTTTAGTCTCTCCAAAGCATCCAGCCACACTCAGACATGTAGCCATTTCATAAATAGTTGATTTTTTTGAATAATTTATTTTACTTTTAAAATGTCTTGATTTATCAGTTTCAAAGGACAGGTATATTCACTCTGACATGAGTTAACTAACTCAGATTTTATATCATATCACAAATCTTTTAAAAGTTAAGGCAACTGAAATATATATAAAATAGTAAATATTTAAATTAAATCAGTAAGTGTAAAATTGGCAGATCCATGACTTCAAATGAAAAATTTTAAACTCTTCAAGGTCAGTGATCAGCCTCCTTCATGAAACCTTTTCCACAGAAGTTAGACAAACACATATAGAAAAATCATCTATTATATCTAGCTTCAATTTATGACAGGCTGCAGTTTTATTCCCATCAAAGATTTTCTTTTTAAAATTCAACCTTATGTATAGAACAGACTTTTGGACTCTATGGGAGAAGGTGAGGGTGGGATGATCTGAGAGAATAGCATCGAAACATGTATATTATCAAGGGTAAAACAGATCACCAGCCCAGGTTGGATGCATGAGACAAGTGCTCGGGGCTGGTGCACTGGGATGACCCAGAGGGATGGGATGGGGAGAGAGGTGGGAGGGGGGCTCAGGATGGGGAACACATGTAAATCCATGGCTGATTCATGTCAGTGTATAGCAAAAACCACTACAATATTGTAAAGTAATTAGCCTTCAACTAATAAAAATAAATGAAAAAAAATAATAAATAAAATTCAACCTTACATGCTATGCTTGTCTCCCAAATTTTAGTCCTAAAACAGACCTAAGAAAGTCTTACTTTGACTGGCTTCTAGAAAATAATGTACTTTTGGACTCAAATATATACATTTATACATCTAATGGCTGAGTATGAACTATTATGATGTTAATGTTTAACTGATGCTTGAAGAATTTTTAAAAATCTACTTCTCCATGAGTAATGCTGGGAATTTAAACAGGCTCAAAAACACTACATCCATTTTCTTAATTCCTTACTGTAATTTCAAAGGTTGATAATGCTATTTTCCCACGTTCAGTTCAAGTTTTCACAGTCTGTGTGTTCAACAAAATAACTTCATTTGACTCAGAAAAACACATTTTCAAATCTATTACAGATGAAAGATTTCATCCATGATGAATGATACAAGCTTGGATCATTACCGGTCTAATGAGTGCATTCTCCAATTTCCGAGGTATTCCTGCAAAGTATACTTTGGTTTCTAGAAACCCATTGGTGGGCTTAAAAAGGCTTTCGGGCTTATTTATATTCATTACAGCTTCTTTAGCTATTTTTACACTAATACTCTGTTCTAATTCTTCCACAGAGACCTACAATTAAAAAGATAAAAATTATCAAACAACCAAACATTACTGCATTTCATATGAAACACTAAGATTGACAAATCCTGTTATTATTCCAGTACATAATTTTCCAAAGTAATCATTTTAATGCACTTGTTAATTTGTTCCAATACATTTCACATGTCAAATTAGTATAAAGGTGATAAAAATGTGTTTTACTGTGATAATTCCTGAGCGAAACTAAATCAACACCATATTTTAAAGTTAAAAATCAGTATTTTTCTATCACATTTAAACATTCATTTATAATATATATCTTTCAATCCCAGTGTGCAGAGAAGGCAATGGCACCCCACTCCAGTACTCTTCCCTGGAAAATCCCATGGACAGAGGAGCCTGGTAGGCTGCGGTCCACGGGGTCGCTAAGAGTCGGAACGCGACCGAGCAACTTCACTTTCACTTTCATGCATTGGAGAAGGAAATGGCAGCTCACTCAGTGTTCTTGCCTGGAGAATCCCAGGGATGGGGGAGCCCGATGGGCTGGGCTGCCTTCTGTGGGGTTGCACAGAGTCGGACATGACTGAAGTGACTTAGCAGCAGCAGCAGCCATAAAATTAAGTTTAAAAAAAAAGAATCACTCTACAGAATCCTAGGAAACTTTTAAGTGCCCTTATTTTGCATCTGTCTGATAGTATAAATATGAAATGAATAATGTGAATACATTTTAACATAAATTAAGAGAAGCTAGTACATTCAGTATTATGTTTATTAAACACAAATTATATTTTGTTTCAAAATTCAAAAGTAGTTGAAGTCATAAGAAAGCATAATACATTAAATTGGGTTTTTCCAATTCTGAAAGTAGTTTGGGTTTCTAAAAAAATTGGAAGTAGTGGTAGACAATAAAATTTTTTTTCTTATAAAGGCAATTTGAAGAACCGTTGCTGCAATTTCCTCATATAAAACTGTAGGACTCAACATGCAAACTCTGCATTTACTTACCAATCGGGGTAGCCAGACAATAGACATATCAAAGCACTACTACAGGAAGAGAAAAATTATGCTCTAAAGTAAAATAACACCCCAGCATAAGCCTTCATTTGTAGCTTTCATGTTATTCTATGTATATAAGAAAGCTTTGACAAATATTATACTTGAACTTAAGTATTTACATATTGAAAAATATTTTTTATAAATTATATTATTTTTAATATAATATTTAGAGCAGTATATTGGATGTGATAAGAGTTTAAAACCACAGACTGACTAACTTATCTTGGGGTCTTTATAGCCCTCTTTATGCTGAATTTCCAAAAGCTTTTAGTCTATCTTAAATTAAAGGCTGGATCTTAAAAATATACTCCGAATCTGATCACTTCTCAGCACTCCTACTATCAACACTGAAGCCAAAGTTGTCATCTTCTTTTCACTGTTATTGCAATAGTCTCCTAATCCCATATCCTGTTTTATCCTTGTGAAAGTGAAAGTGTTAATCATCCAGTCGTGTCCGACTCTGCAACCTCACAGACTGTAGACTGCCAGGCTCCTCTGTCCATGGAATTCTCCAGGCAAGAACACTTGACTGGGTAGCTGTTCCCTTCTCCAGGGGGTCTTCCTGACCCAGGTGTTGAAGCTGGGTCTCCCACACTGCAGGCAGATTCTTTACCATCTGAGCCACCAAGGAAGCCCATAGCTGTGGCCCACGGGCAATAGCTGTTCCGAGGCACGTGGGACCTTCCCAGGCCAGAGACTGAATCTCAGATATCAATAACCTCAAATATGCAGCTGACACCACCCTTATGGCATAAAACAAAGAAGAACTAAAGAGCCTCTTAATGAAAATTAAAGCAGAGAGTGAAAAAGTCGGCTTAAAACTCAACATTCAGAAAACTAAGATCATAGCAAATAGATGGGGAAACAATGGAAACAGTGACAGACTTCATTTTCTGGGATCCAGAATCACTGCAGATGGTGACTGCAGCCATGAAATTAAGACATTTGTTCTTTGGAAGAAAAGCTATGACCAACCTAGACAGCATATTAAAAAGCAGAGACCTCACTTTGCCAAGAAAGGTCCGTCTAGTCAAAGCTATGGTTTTTCCAGTGGTCATGTATGGATATGAGAATTGGACTATAAAGAAAGCTGAGTGCCGAAGAATTGATGCTTTTGAACTGTGGTGTTGGAGAAGACTCTTGAGAGTCCCTTGGATTGCAAGGAGATCCAACCAGTCCATCCTAAAGGAGATCAGCCCTGGGTGTTCATTGGAAGGACTGATGCTGAAGCTGAAGCTCCAATACTTTGATCACCTGATACAAAGAACTGATTCCTTGGAAAAGACCCTGATGCTGGGAAAGACTGAAGGCAGGAGGAGAAGGGGACGACAGAGGATGAGATGGTTAGATGGCATCACTGGCTCGATGGACATGAGTTTGAGCAAGCTCCAGGAGTTTGGTGATGGGCAGGGAAGCATGGTGTGCTGCAGTCCACGGGGTCGCAAAGAGTCGGACATGACTGAGTGACTGAACTGAACTGAGGGACTGAACCCATGTCTTCTGCATTGGCACGCAGATTATTTACCACTGAGCCACTATCTTTACTCTCTACAGTTTCCACAGTCATTAGGTCCTAACCAGGATCATCTTTTAACATGCAAATTAGATCATATCACTTATCAAAATCATCTAGGGTCTTTCTACTTAACAGAAAATTCAAGGTCTTATTCCAGACCACATTTCTGACTTCACTTTTTACTACTCTTTCCCTCTCTCACTCCACTGCATCTACACTCACTTTCATGTTGCTGCTCAAATAAAAACAAACACATCCTCTAGCCTAAGACTGTATTTGCTGTTCATGTGACACAGAATTATCTTCTTTCCAAAATATATGCTGTCATGTGCCCTCAAGTCTCTGATTTAAAGTAATCAGAGATGGCTTTTCTGATTCCATGTGCACACTCACCATCATCATTCTCTACTGCCTGGCTTTGCTTTGCTTTTTCCTCATAGCATTAATCACTATCTGACATAGCTATTTGTTGACACATTTGTAGTTTTCATCTCACCACCAAAATGCAAGCTCCATAAGAGCAAGGACTTTTTTGTTTTATTCACTATTGCATCCCCACCACCTAGAAGAAGGAATAGCACAGAAAGTGCTCATAAAATATTTTGTTGGATAAATGAAATTATACATTTTCCACCAATATTAGGACTATATCCAGCTATGAAATATAATAATCACAAGTTATCAATATTTATTCCTACAGGTTATAGCCATTCTAATGACAATCATTACACATTCAACTTTATTTACCTGAATTATAAAACAATTCTAAGTTATACATTTTAATTTATTTTAACATATTTTATTTAAAATTTTAAAATAATTTAAAATTAGTGAAACAACTGCTATAAAGTGAATAGTCCAGTTAATAGGTTAGTTTAACTTGATCACTTTGTCATTAATTAAAATTCAAATACTTATTTAAAGTATTTTTCTTATTTTAAATAATTTCTGGGCTGCATAAATTTGTTTGAAACAGTATAATTCATTAATAAATCATCAGGATTATACGTTAGTAGGACTACCATAGTGAAAGTGGGATTCTCCAAGCAAGAATACTGGAGTGGGTTGCCATTTCCTTCTCCAGGGGATCTTCCCGACCCAGGGATCGAACCCAGGTCTCCGGCATTGGAGGCAGACGCTTTAACCTCTGAGCCACCAAGGTAGCCCTTGCTACCATTCTATCCTAAATATAAAAGGTATGGAGTGAAAAAAGAATTCCTATTTATCAGGGGAGTATAAAGTGCAAAAATTGTTAAGATATTGAATTACAATTTAAAGAAAAACCAATAGCACCAAATTTATTACCAAAGTTTCTCTCCGACTTCAGAAAAAGATTGAATTATAATTTAAAGAAAAACCAGTAACAGCAAATTTATTACCAAAGTTTCTCTCTGACTTGCTAATTGTTCTTAAATTTTACTTTTTCTATAAGCTTGTATTCAGTTTATAGAGGGAGATTTTAATTTAAATGCTGTAGCTAAAACATGGGCATATCATTAAATAATAGTTTCTTTTTAACAAGAATCATAAATATAGGAGATGAATGAAACTGAACAGCTGCCTTCCATTCAACCCAAATTTTGACTTTAACAGGATATAACTCATGAACAATTCTTCAATAAATACTACTTGCAACTCATGATCACTTCACAGATATTTATCTTCTTCTTTATATACATTATATCCTACGTAGAAATGTATTTAAATTCACCTTCAAACAGCTGATATTTTCAATTTGTATAAACTCATTGAAAAAAGAATTCTGTTTACTCTCTTTTACTGCAAAAGTGATTTTAGTGGTTTTAGATAGGTGATTTAGGGACAGCTGGGCATTAAAGTGTATTCTTCAGTACACTGGAGGAATAGCTGTATGCATCAAATATTATAGATACAGATGTAGTAGGAAAGATGTGGTTAAAAAAAAAAAAAGCTATACTAATAAGCAACAGAAGTAAAAGAATTTTAACAACTTCTCTGACAGTTGCATTTGATCCTCTGAAGCCACAATTCTTTCAAAGTCAGGAGCCCCAAAGCCATGGCTACCAATCAACAGATAGCCCCCTTTTTGGTGAACTACATCTGCACCCAACTATTCTTTATTACACTTTCCTGAAACATATTTCACATTACACCGTATTGGTTCACAATGCCACATCCACTATTAAACTGTTAGAGTCTAACCTCAAAGAACATGGACAATCTCTTACTATGGTTTCAGCCCCTTGGAATCAGGAATATAGCATTTTAAACTTGCTTACTAAATCCTTATTGAATATATGATTGCAAGAGTGGATAAGTATAATGAAATAATTTAGTGATGACTTTACATGGTTGCTTAACATGGACCTTTCTTGTCAGTTCCCATAGACTTACAAAGTGTCTCTTTGGGTCACCACATTCTAAGGTGAAGCTGGTCTCAGCTCTTCTCTGCTGAAAGCAGCATTGATTTAAAGTGACATTCTCCCCTCTGTAGACTAACAGTAATCCCTTCTCCAAGATAAATTCCATTTGAATACAGTAGATTAAAGTTCTATTCTTGATTATTCAAATAAAGACTCACTTTTAGGGATTACTTAACAATGCTAGTTTCTAAGCGTTCTGATTGGCTCCAGCTAGTGTATCCTATTTGTACAAATCCATTAATCTATATGATAATATTTAAAATTAAATTAAAATTTTAATTTTGTTACTACACGTATTTCTCTTTTACATCAAAAATATTGATGGCTATCCAGTGTAGCTGTCCTAGATCAGTGTTATCTTTGCATAACCCTTGACCTTATAGGTGCGATATCAGAGTTCACCAGTTACAACCACTAAAAAAGGTGAAGTTAAAAACAAAATAGTTGTTTTTAACAAAGCAAATAACTGAAAACAACTTCAGTTATGGGAAATCCACACATGTTGAGAGAGAATAATTTCTCAGACCATTTCAGGTATTTACAGTGTGTAGAATACACTTCACACATCAGATAAACCCAAACTTATTTTGGTTTGGTATCACTATTATAGTAATGATTAATGATTTTATACAAACTGCATCAGAGTGGAATGATTCTTTATGAATTCTGCAAAACATACCATATTCCATAAACCATCATTAATAACTTTGCCGCCAGTTGTCATTTTGACTGTATTTTCATTCTTAAACTGAATTTCAATCTTTCCCTCACGAAGCGCAATCAGGAACCAAGCTGAGTGATCAGAAGATTCTGCATACAGGATAACACCTTCTGAATCATATGTCCGGAAATCAAATTCAGCTGAAAATCTGAACAATGGACAAAGAGAGAGCCTGAATAGTGAGAAATATTGAAGATCATGTTTTTTCTTTTACTCTCGAACTGGCAAATAGCAGTATGTTAAAAGAGACAACTCTTTCACTAGAAAAAATAAAAGAGAAGGGCCAGATTAAACCCTTCTTGTATTATCTCTGGCTCCATGTGTACTTAAAATCAAGCTGTTTTACTTTCTTGCTTATTCGTGGAAACTTTTTTCCAAATGAGCATATGCTTTGATAAATTTTTCATCTTTTGGCATTTGTTTTGAAAGCTCTTTTAAATGCTGGAATACACATGTATAAATATTGGGCATACTGTCTCAAGCCTTTTATACACTATATAATCTAACATGAAGATTCTTCTTTTTTTTTTCCTGTGTCCACATATGATTAATAAAAGATGTTTAATCCATGATTGGTTCATCCATCAAAGAGCAAATTTTCCCTATGATTTCATATATGTCAGGAAGGAATCACTCAGAGAGATATACAAGATAGTATCTGAATGATTTCTAACATAATTAAGTCTTCATGTGTGGTAAAGGAAGGCAAAATAAAAAACTTTTAAAAGTATCTGTTAGTTTAATTTTAAAAGCTCTCCAAAACTCTAATTGCACAAATCATTATACTGGAGGACATAGAAGGAGAGTTTAAAAGATATAGCCATGTGTTTGGGGCAATCTGAGCTCTGACAATGCCTGTTGCTATTAAGAGACTGAACATATATGTAGCTACTACACGGAGGGATAAAAATCTTAAGAATGCTGGACTGAAAAATAATATATATAAATTCATGGCCTTACGATACTGTAATGAAAATCAACATTAAAGTTTCCAAGGGACCCGTAAAGCAAAATGATTGAAAAAAGGTAAACAAGAAACAGGAAAAATAGTTGTATAATTACTGGCCATCTGAGTTAAATTAAAATAAAGATAATTTAAATTAAAAAATGAAGATTTCAGATAATTATGAAATATGACAAGAAAGAATCCCAGACTCTTTCCTTTTCTATGTACAATAGTAATAGTAATAGAGGCATAATTTGTAATGGGCACAAACCTACCTCGAACAGAACAAAGAAAAAGTGATAGAATAAACTTTCTAGCCTTGAGAATTCCAAGAAAATATTATAAAGAGATAAATGTGGAGTAAAGTTTCTTGGGTAGATCAAAATATACTAGGAATTTAAGGAACTCAGATTATATTTAAAAAGAACCATTTTGCTCTGAGTAGGGACTTTTCTTTCATATTCATCACATTTTGCTGATGTGAAGCATTATTATCTTGCCAAAACCTGAATCTGTGTATGGTCAGGATCTTCTAGAAGTTGATCCTATTATGAAGATAATTTCCCTCTCTTTGTAAAAACATGATAAAAACCAGTAATTCAAATAGTTGTGTTCTGCATATTTTCTGTCTGGAATACATCAGCATACTGATTCACTACGTTGGGGAACAATTCATTCTCTTTCAGAAGCATTGTAGAGCGAAAAAAAGTGAACTTGTTAACTTTGGGGCAGCATAAGGATTTGATCGTGGGAAACAGAGTTGAAGAAATTTGCAAAAAAAGAAAAAAGAAACAAAAAACATTAGCTGTTTTTTGAGTTTGTTACACAGGTGGCAGCTTATAAAAGTTCATCAAGCTGTATATATAAGATATATGTATATTACATGTATACTTCTGTGTGTGTGTATGTGTGTGCGTGTATACAAATATATATAATACCTCAATAAAAAGTTTAAACTAAATAATAAATACTGAAAGAAGATGATTGTTTGACCAATTTTATCCGATGTTAGAGCCCAAGCTTTTGTGAACGGTGAGAAATGAATACCTCTGAAAGTGTCTGAGATAATTAATTCTTCTCTCTCATAATTATCCTCATAGCAAGGAAAGGCTGTCTCCAATCCATGTCACTAGAAGATAGTCTTTGCTCTGAGGTGTTAAAGGGGAAAACATTTTTGGGGAAATCAGAGTGCTGAAAGGTCACAACTATATCAGTGAGTAAATTTCAGTGTCCTTAATGATAAAATTTCTATGAATTGAGATGAATGATTTAATGAGTATTCACTCATAGATCTAATGGATTAAATTCTAAATATACATGCTTATCTAATTAAAATATTTTAAAATTTGGAGTCTATAATCAGTCTCAAATGTTTCCATTATTCCAACAAAATTTGAATTTTTTTTTTCCTAGTTCCAACAATGATGGCTCTGAGAAAATTTGATAAAGTAGCATCATGACTCAAAAACAGAAGTGATTACTCCCTCTCCAAAGTCAACCTAATTACAGGAAGAGGAGATAAAGTACTCAGTCAACTAAAATCAGGTGACACATTTCTTTAAAATACTACTTCGGCAATCTTATAGTTTGCTTAATAATTATGAATATAACTATATTCTAAAAGCAGTATCTTGAATTATTCCCATTACTTAGATGGTAGAAAAAAGAATGAAAATTTCACAGATACTTTAAATCCTCTTTTCCAGCTTCTTAAAATATGTATTCATTAGAAAAGGAAGAACTCCGGCTTAGGGTAAAATGATCACTAGGGAAGATCAGCCTAGAACAACCCCAAATGATTCAAGCATGAAAATTATATGTGAAGGAAAAAATGAACTTTAGGGTACCCAATATCATCTGATTGATAATACACCTAAATTATCTGATTGTTAGTAAAATTTCATGGATTTTAAACCATTAGTAACTCCTTTTCTTCTGTTCTGACGTGCTTATTTCTAAAATTATCACTGACATTGGTACCTCACCTGGTGGTTTCTGGCAAACGAAATTTTAAATACAAAACGACCCCTACAAACTGCTCTGCCAAGTAAAGCAATTCATAATTTTTGTCAAGGTCCAAAGGAAGGCACACTGGAACAGCCTGGAGAAAAGGCAACAAAATGAGAAAAGGCATTGGTTACTGTTTGGTGTATGTGTCAGGATACCATTCTTTCTCTGGTTCCTAGTGGTCTTGTCAAACATATCCTCTCTGATACAGTACAATCAACGCAGAACACCCATTGTAATAACAAAGCAATATCTTTTACTTCCCTGTATAGTCCATCAGTGTAATCCCCAAGAATGCATGCTAAGTCACTTCAGTCGTGTCTGACTCTTCCTGACCCCATGGACTGTATCCTGCCAGGCTCCTCTGTCCATGGGATTCTCCAGGCAAGAGTACTGGAGTGGGTTGCCATTCCCTTCTCCAGGGGATCTTCTCCACCCAGCGAGTGAACTCACGTCTCCTGCATTGCAGGCAGATTCTTTATAGCAGAATAAGCTATATATATATACATAAATATCCTCCCTTATGAGCCTTCCTCCCACTCACCCTCCATTTGTTTTAAAGTCTTACTAAGCCAAAATTTTTCTGAGCAAAAATGTGCTCTCTAGATATCAAAGGAAATGCTGAAAAACCTGAACAGGATAAATATTAAGTAAGATATCATCATAATCTCCAAGGAATTTACAAAAAAAAAAAAAAAAGATTTAGAGTCAGGTGATTTATTATCAGGGCTTCCCAGGTGGCTCTAGTGGTGAAGAACCCACCTGTCAGTGCAGGAGACATAAAGGACAAATGTTCGATCCTTGGGCCAGGAAGATCCCCTGGAGGAGGACATGGCAACCCACTCCAGCATTCTTGCCTGGAGAACATCATGGACAGAGGTGCCTGGCAGGCTACAGCCCATAGGATCACAAAGAGCCAGGCATTACTGAAGTGACTTAGCACACATGTACGAACTATTATCAAGGTCTTTCTTTCTTTTAAGAGTAAAAACAAACATTTAAATGGAAAGTTTTTTAAATGAGAAGTTCTTGGGCATACATCTAGGGATATTCTGGGGAGAACTGCGCAAATAGCACTGTATTAAATCTAGGTCCTGAAATAATATCTCATTTCCTCTTAGAACTTCAGTATATCTATTCTAAGGAAGGTGGCAACGTGTAACAACAAAAAATACTGAAACAATAGGATATCAAATTACAAAATAAACATGCACACATTTCAATGAAGTACTACCAAAGTTACTACATATGCCAACTAGCTTTCCTTACCTTCCTTTACCAAATAGGTAGCATAATATGAAATGCTGATATTTTTTTAACATATACAGCTTCTCTTGAGAGCAGATAGACAGTATGTGTAAATCAATGACTATTAAATAATCAGTTAACGGTGTTTCTTTTTTTTAAATGTCTGCCTCATAAGCTTGACATTTCACTTTCACTTTTAAAAATTAAAAGAGACTGATGAATTGGACTAAAGATCACTAACGTGATCCTTGCTTAGGGAAAAAAAGAAAAAAAGAGCTTCAGATTTCTTCAGTGGAAGAAATATTAGAACCTACCCCCAACATTCACTTTCTGGATCAATTATGAATTGAATTTGAGTAACCTAGAAGCAAGTTGAAGAGATAGAAAGTAACAAAACTGATCCCTCTGAATTTCGATATACTTAAACCTCGACTAAACCCTACTCTGAAAAAACTGTTTGCACCTGAGATTTTATGCACACTCTTGCAAGTACTAACATGCCTAAGGCATGATCAAACTTGTCAGAGTGTGATGAAAGTAGACACTGAAAAATGTTTTCACTGAAATTTCTATGAAAGATTTTTTCTCACAAAGAGAAGTATAAACCTTAGCTTTTTACAGTTTTTTAAGTAAACATACATATTGCATTTTATAAAAGTACAGGCTATACACATGAGCACTCTTTGAACTGTGGCCCTGCAGCTTCTTTTTAATCCAGTCACTAATTATCCACATGCCTGCTATACCGCTTCAGTCCTGTCCAACTCGTCGTCACCCTCTGTGGACTGCAGCCCATCAGTCTCCACTGCCCGTGGGATTCTCCAGGCAAGAATACTGGAGTGGATTGCCATGCCCTCCTCCAGGGGACATTTCTGACCAAAGGAATGAGCCCGCGTCTCTTATGTCTCCTGTATTGGAAGGCAGGTTCTTTACCACTAGCACCAACTGGGAAGTCCCTCACAATGTTTACCAAATTATGTGGTCAAAATTAGTAAATAGATTGTGACTCATAGCCTGTTTTGAACTATAGCAATTAAGTAGAAATCTGTATTCTTATTTACCTCAACTATGTGGAAATAAGTACCTGGATCTCATTTTTAAAAACAGATGGGCATGTTAGTATTGCAAAGTGTTACCTCACAACTCTTCTGATCTTGGGCAAGTTTGAATCCTTTCTTTCCATCACAGTAACAAGAGTAACCTCCAGGGTAATTGACACAAAGTTGAGCACACAAGTTCTCAGAGCATTCATCCACATCTGGGGGAAAAGAGAACATAAATTTTAATATCTCCTGAATGTTCAATCCAACAGAAGGACTATTCTGATTTTAGTATAAGATAATCAGTGATAATAAATCCTTAGTGAAAGAAATTCTTTGACATCAAATCACCTTTATGCATTTGCCACAGAAATTTAAATGAGTCACAAATGTAATTTCAATTTGTTTATAGACCTGAATCAACAAATTTAAAGGATAACTTTCAGTAATTAATAATTAATAAAGATACAACAACTATGCTAATTTTATGATTTTGAAGAAAAAAACAGAGTCTCAATGTAACTGTCGAATCTGATCATATGAATTCCATTGACACTTTCTTCTTAACTCTCTGCTTTGATGAAAAGAAAAGGAAGGGGAAAAGAAGGAGTGGAGGGGAGGACAGGAAGACAGGGAAGGGAAGGGAAGAAAAGATCCCTTTTAAATGAAGGTTAATGTAATTCACAGAGACAGAATCCACCTGCCAAGCCAGAGATGTGGGTTCAGTTCCTGGGTCTGGAGGATCCCCTGGAGAAGGAAATGGCAACTTAGTTCAGTATTCTTGTCTGGGAAATCCCATGGACAGAGGACCCTGTCTGGCTATAGTCCATGGAGTCACAAAAGAGTTGGACGGAACTTAGCAACTAAATAACATTGTAGTTGCAGATTAAATGACTATATCAAGAAAATATCACTTTCCATAATGCAATGATTAATGGTGGCAATAAATTTAAGGACATACATTTATTTCTTAACTTATTAAAGATATAAAAAAACAAAAAATCTCACTGTGCTATTACCACCCGTTTTGTGAAATCTTCTCTATGGTCCCTGTCCCAATCCATATTTTAAGAAAATCATTCTTGAAAAGTTGTAATAAGATGTTTCAGCTTAGGTACACTTTAGAAATATGTGAGATCATTGACCTTTTAGATGAATATACCCTGTGATCTTTGAAAATTCCCAAACTCAAACACTGCTATAGCATAGTTTCCCCTTAAAATGAGAACCCCTTTGAATGTCTTAAAATAAAATCCCAAAATTAGTGAGCCCTCAATACTACTGAAATTGAATAGCATAACTAAAGTAATAAAATATTGTATATATGTATGTCACATCGATTTCTGCTTTACTGACTATGCCAAAGACTTTGACTGTGTGGATCACAATAAACTGGACAATTCTGAAAGAGATGGGAATACCAGACTATCTGACCTGCCTCTTGAGAAATCTGTACGCAGGTCAGGAAGCAACAGTTAGAACTGGACATGGAACAACAGACTGGTTCCAGATAGGGAAAGGAGTACGTCAAGGCTGTATACTGTCACCCCGCTTGTTTAACTTACATGCAGAGTACATCATGAGAAACACTGGGCTGGATGAAGCACAAGCTGGAATCAAGATTGCCAGGAGAAATATCAATAACCTCAGATATGCAGATGACACCACCCTTATGGCAGAAAGTGAAGAGGAACTAAAAAGCCTCTTGATGAAAGTGAAAGAGGAGAGTGAAAAAGTTGGCTTAAAGCTCAACATTCAATGCATGAGACAAGTGCTCGGGCCTGGTGCACTGGGAAGACCCAGAGGAATAGGGTGGAGAGGGAGGTGGGAGGGGGGACCGGGATGGGGAATACATGTAACTCCATGGCTGATTCATGTCAGTGTATGAAAAGACCCACTGCAGTACTGTAAGGTAATTAGCCTCCAGCTAATAAAGGTAAATGAAAAAAATAAATAAATTAAGTGCTATTCCCTGGTTAAAAAAAAAAAAAGCTTAACATTCAGAAAACTAAGATCATGGCATCTGGTCCCATCACGTCATGGCAAATAGATGGGGAAACGTGGAAACAGTGGCACATATCTTATACATGTATTTTGCCATAATAGAAAAATTACTATTAATTTGATTAGTTTTAGTCATGATATTGGGCTTCCCTGGTGGCTCAGATGGTAAAGAATCCACCTGCAATGGGGGAGACCTGGGTTCGATCCCTGGGTTGGGAATGTTCCCTGGAGAAAGGAAAGGATACCCACTTCAGTATTCTGGCCTGGAACATTCCATGGACCATATAGTTCATGGGGTTGCAAAGAGTCTGACATGACAGAGAAACTTTCACTTTCACTTTCAGTCATGATATTAAACTCACTTTAAAATTTTTTTAAAAAATCAGAGGAGGATGTGAGATAATTTGTACATATCCATGATTTAAAAAAAATAACCCTATGATACATCTAAGCTACCTGGACAGCGGCACTGGAGTCAAATGAAGTAAGCACAAGCTTCAAGGAGCTCTCCCAAATCCAGACACAGACATCCCTAATCACTGCTTCTCACAGTTTTAGAGCTTGGCTCTCATCTGGTTATGATGAGATTTTCTTTTTATATATATTTAATTACAATGGAGTTAGGTCATTTACTATTTTACAATAAAATGACAGACTTAAATACACACAGAAAATCACTGAAAAGCCTGGCATAAAACGAAAGATTTCTAACCACCTTGTTTTAAACTCATCTTCCTTTCTCTCTCATGTGTATCTGTCTGTGTTTCCTTTCAGCTGCTTTTTATTTTTGAATAAATGTGTTTCTTTTGCTTCTATCATATATGGGAGGTCTGCAATCCAAATACAGCTTAGAGGACCATCAGATTGCACAGCACCGATCATGCATGGGTCTGACATACTTTTAATCTGGAAGGAAGCCATCACCACCCAACTGATCAAATTATAGCATGGATTTTACCACCTGAGAAAATCTGATTACTGATATCAAGAAGAACCAATGCTTCTCATTTCAAATCAGGGTGCCAACTCACCCCCTCCACCACCAATAATACCAACAGAACTTTACCGTCACAAGACTTTGATACGGGATTGTATTTGTAGCCTTCAGCACATTCACATTCAAAGTCTCCTGGGATGTTCTTGCACACAGCTGTGCCACAAATGCTTGGCTTTAAAACGCATTCATCCACATCTACAAATGAAACAAGTATATTAAAAAAATTTTTTTCCATACCAGTAGACACTAGCAAAGAACCCTTGATTTGTGTTTCCTGGGTCTAGTTTCATATGTCTAATAAAACAACAAAGTGGACTGGAAATAACAAAATATTAAATCTATCATCATGTTTTAGTTCACTTAATACAGTTTCTTTCTACAAATGCATAGGGAATTTGATCGGTGTCTGCTATTTCCTTATAATCATGTAAAAGAAAAAAAGGCTTTAATTATTTTCTTATCTACCAGGTTACAGTATGAAAATAAATTGAAGAGACTCATCATATTCTTAACATGTATTCCTAAACACATGTTTCTGAAATATGGTCTTAAAAGCTTATCTACACTGAAAAAAAAAAAGCTTATTTACTCTGTATTATCACAAATATAAAAAAATAGGATAAAAATGAGATGGCTCATCCCTCTTACACCTTTCCTTTGGAAATGGACCATAGCTAAATCTGCATACTACTATTACGGCTTAAATTACTCAAGAGTGATTCAAATTTAAAATGGGACTGGGTAAGGTCTTCAATTATTTATGAAGCCACAGCTAATCCAGGATAAATTTTAACATTAAATTAATATTTCAGAAATTTGAAATTGCAACTAGTTACTGAATAAGTGACTGTGACAAAAACAAGTGATAGAAATAGTTCAATAGAAATATAATTATTATAGTGAACTTTTCTCATCTGTAAAGAAAGCTGAGCACCGAAGAATTGATGCTTTTGAACTGCGGTGTTGGAGAAGACTTGAGAGTCTCTTGGACAGCAAGGAGATCCAACCAGTCCATCCTAAAGGATATCAGTCCTGAATATTCATTGGAAGAACTAATGCTGAAGCTGAAACTCCAATACTTTGGCCACCCTGATTTGAAAAACTGACTCATTTGAAAAGACCCTGATGCTAGGAAAGATTGAAGGCGAGAGGAGAAGGGGACAACAGAGGATGAGATGGTTGGATGGGATTACCGACTCAATGGACATGAGTTTGAGTAAACTCTGGGAGTTGGTGATTGACAGGGAGGCCTGGCTTGCTGCAGTCCATGGGGTCGCAGAGAGTCGGACACTTTCAAGTGACTGAACTGAATTGAACTTTCTCATCTGTACTCTCTCAGGAAAGATAAGCTCAGAATGAAATCTAGATTTTCTACTTAAAAAAGCTGATAGTTTAATTTTTCCACAAATTGGCCAAATTGTCAGACATTTCTCTATTTAAAATAACCTTCACAAAAAATAAATGAATCAATTTACTGTGGCAAGTAAGTTTTCCTGTATCTTGCTTGTATCAATGTCAATATCCTGTATGTTATAAGGTATTATAGTTTTGCAAGTATTCCTGTCTGGGGAAATTGGGTAAAGGGTACATGGGATGTCTTTTATTACTTCTTACAACTGCATGTAAATCTATAATTATTTCAAAAAATACTTAATTTTTAAAAAAGAGCTATAAAATCCATATTTTTAACAGGAAGTAAAAACATGACTAAATTTATTTGATTTGAGGCATATTACAAGAACTCCTTTAAATTATATGAGTGTGGGTTATAGTATATACATTTTATGACTCTACACTGACATCTAATGTCTGATGAAAAGTTTTATTCTTGCATTTTTGGAAATTTACTGGCAACTTAATCCCAACCAAATTCACATTTTAAATAAAGGCCCTGTTGTAACAATTGTATATATATTCTTCTACTAATTGTGTACTTTATTGCTTATGTATCGTGAACAAAACACTATGTAAATGAACCATACAAAAACATATGTACTGATAACAGAGACCATCATTTCTAAGAGAACTTTTGGTTAATGTGTATTAACTCAATGGCTAAGGATTAAATTGCTCTAAATTAAAATGAAAATCATAAATTCTTTAGCAGCACAAATTCTTTCAAGTATTTAGATGTTCAAGTACAAATAGGTATTATTTGCTTATGGAATGCATATGGTATCCTTTCATTATGATGATTTTCTGTAACTAGTGTTCTGTTGATACTGGTATTCTAAATATCTACCTCAAACACCTTCAAATAGGCAAACAAGAAAGATATATAATCTAAAATTGTATAATTGCTCATAAGAAATTGTTAGTTTATGCAATTCACCTTAAAGTCACTTAACTACACTTTAAATGATATCATAGTAAATGACAGAATGATCTTGGTTCATTTCCAAGGCAAAGCATTCAAATCACAGTAATCCAAGTCTATGCTCCAACCACTAATACTGAAGTAGATGAAGTTGAACGGTTCTATGAAGACCTACAAGACCTTTTAGGACTAACAGCAAAAAAAAAAAAATATGTCCTTTTCATCATAGTGGACAAGAATGCAAAAGTAGGAAGTCAAGTGATATCTTGAGTAATAGGCAAGTATGGCCTTGAGTACAAAATGAAGCAGGGCAAAAGTTAACAGAGGTTTACCAAGAGAACTCACTGATAATAGCAAACATCCTTTGCCAAAAACCCAAGAGACGACTCTACAGGTGGACATAGCCAGAAGGTCAATACCAAAATCAGACTGGTCATATTCTCTGCAGCCGAAGATGAAGAAGCTCTATACAGTCAGCAAAAACAAGACCAGGAAATGACCATGAACTCCTTATTGCAAAATTCAGACTTAAATAAAAAAAAGTACGGAAAACCCCATGGCCATTCAGGTATGGCCTAAATCAAATCCCATTTGATTATACAGTGGAAGTGACAAATAGATTCAAGGGATTAGATTTGATAGACAGAGTGTCTGAAGTACTATGAATGGAGGTTTGTAACATTGTACAGGATGTAGTGATCAAAACCATCTTCAAGAAAAAGAAAGGCAAAAAGGCAATATGGTTGTCTGAGGAGGCCTGACAAGTAGCTGAGCAAAGAAGAGAAGTGAAAGGAAAAGGGAAAATATAACTATCTGAATGCAGAGCTCCAAAGAATAGCAAGGAGAGATTTTTAAAAAGCCTTCTTAAGTGAACAATGCAAAGAAATAGAGGAAAACAATAGAATAGGAAAGACTAGAGATCTCTTCAAGAAAATTAGAGATACCTTGGGAATATTTCATGCAAAGATGTGCACAATAAAGGAAAGAAACAGTGTGGACATAACAAAAGCAAAATATATTAAGACGAGGTGGCAAGAATACACAGAAGAACTATACAAGAAAGGTCTTAATTACCAGGATAACCATGATAGGGTGATCAACTCACCTAGAGCCAGACATCCGGGAGAGTGAAATCAAGTGGGCCTTGGGAAGCATTACTATGAACTAAGTTAGTGGAGGTCCGGCTGAGCTATTTCAAATCATAAAAGATGATGCTGTGAAAGTGCTGCACTCAATATGCCAGCAAATTTGGGAAACTTGGAAATGGCCATAGGATTGGAAAAGGTCAGTTTTTTCATTTCATCCCAAAAAAGGAAAATGCCAAACAATATTCAAACTCTACACAATTGCACTCATTGCACTTGCTAGCAAGGTAATGCTCAAAATCCTTCAAGCTAGGCTCCAACAGTATATGAACTGAGAACTTCCAGATGTACAAGCTGAATTTAGAAAAAGCAGAGGAACCAGAGGGCTTCCCTTGTAGCTCAGCTGGTAAAGAATCTGCCTACAATGCAGGAGACCCAGGTTCAATCCCTGGGTTGGAAATCCCCTGGAGGAGGAAATGGCAACCCCCTCCAGTATTATTGCCTGGAGAATCCTATAGACAGAAGAGCCTAGTGGGTTACAGTCCATGGGGTCACAGAGAGTTGGACACGACTGAGTGACTAAACCACCATTTGGAGGAACCAGAGATCAAGTTGCCAACATCCACTGAAACATAGAAAAAGCAAGGGAATTCCAGAAAAACATCTACTTCTGCTTCACTGACTATGCTAAAGCCTTTGACTTGGTGGATCACAACAAACTGTGGAAAATTCTTAAAAGGATGGGAATACCAGACCATCTTACTTGCCTCTTGAGAAACCTGTATGCAGGTCAAGAAGCAACAATCAGAATCGGACATAGGACAACAGACTGGTTCCAAATTGGGAAAGGAGTACGTTAAGGCTGTATATCATCACCCTGCTTACTTAACTTATATGCAGAGTACATCATGGGAAGTGCTGGGCTGGATGAAGCCCAAGCTGGATCAAGATTACAGGGAGAAATATCAACCTCAGATATGCAAATGACACCACCTTAATGGCAGAAAGCCAAGAGGAATTAAAGAGCCTCCTGATGAAGGTAGGGCTTCCCTTGTGGCTCTGGTGGTAAAGAATCTGCCTGCAATGCAAGAAACCTGGATTTGATCCACTGGTGAGGGGAAAGGCTACCCACTCCAGTATTCTGGCCTGGAGAATTCCAGGGACTGTATAGTCCATGGGGTCGCAAAGAGTCAGAAACGCCTGAGCAACTTTCACTGGGCTTCCCTCATAGCTCTGTCAGTAAAGAATCTGCCTGCAATGCAGGAGACCTGGGTCTGATTCCTGGGTTGGGAAGATCCCCTGGAGAAGGAAATGGCAACCCACTCCAGTATTCNGGTTGGATGGTATCATTGACTCAAAGGACATGAGTTTGAGCAAACTCTGGGAGATAATAGACAGGGAAGCCTGGCGTGTTGCAGTCCATGGGGTTGCAAAATGTCAGACATGACTGGGCGACTGAACAACAATAGTAAACTATGCTAAACACTACAGTGCAATGAAGGACAGACCACTCATTGAACATGAATTCAATTTAAGGATTTATGAAAGCAGACTATGAATAGAGTTGAACAAGATAACTTTACATTTTAACTTACTAAATTTTTTTACCTTATCACAAAAAGAGGAGAAGATGGGAAAGGGGTATGGAGGAAGAGAGGGAAGAAGAAAGAAAAGAAAGGAAAGAAGAAAAAAAGGGAAGGAAGAAAGAAGAGAAGAAAGAAAAACTTGCTTCCATTTTCTAAAGGTAACTCCAGGCTGGAAAATGTCACGTTTAGTTACCCACATACCTAGCACTTATACCTGAAGATTTAGTAAAAGACAGTTAAGCAATCTAATGGAAAAGATATCATGCAGAAAAAAGAAAAGAAAATTTTGGGGAAAAAATATTTCTTTTTTTTTTTTTTTAATTTATCTGTTTTATTGAAGGATAATTACTTTATAGAATTTTGCTGTTTTCTGTCAAACCTCAATATGAATCAAACACAGGTGTATACACATCCCCTCCCTTTTGAAACTCCCTCCCATCTCCCTCCCCACCCCACCCTTCTAGGTTGATCCAGAGCCCATGTTTGAGTTTCCTGAGCCAAACAGCAAATTCCCATTGGCTAGCTATTTTCCATATGGTGATGTAAGTTTCCATGTTATTCTTTCCATACATCTCACCCTCTCCGCCCCCTCCCTGTGTTCATAAGTCTATTCTCTATGTCTGTTTCTCCATTGTTGCCCTGTAAATAAATTTAAAAAGAAACACACTAGCAAAATGACTTAAAAAGCTAAATTAACTGACAGGAATTATTTAAGTCTGAAATTTTTTTTTAAAAAGTTATGACATGTGATGTGATCTTAAATGTATAAAGAAAAAGAAAAACCAGAGTTTCATCTTTTTCAAAAACACAACAGGAAATGAGGTGCAAGATGGAGGGTTTATATTGGAAATTAGAAAGGTATTTCTGACAAGGAAATATAAAATACAATGAAAGAAGTTACTAAGGATTGTGGTGATTTATTTGTAAACTGTAGATCTTATTGAAATAAAGGATATAATAATAATAATTATAATACTATAGAGTCTGGGAGAAATAGGATCAACAATGATTTTGCATATACCGTAGTATGCGAAGACTTGCATTAAAACTTCACTTTATCACCATATGATGAAATTCTTCATTAAAACATGTGCATGTATCAATACACACATACATGCACAATAAGAAAACAACAAAATACTCTGAAATAAAAAAATACCCGATCAACAATAAACTAAAGGCAGTCCATCAGAATCACCGGCTTCAAGGTGGATAATAATGTATACTTATTATAAACACTTAAAACTCGAGTTTTCCATGAATTGCCTGGGGAAATTCCTCTAACTGAATTGTTGCTCTTACACAGAAAATATCTTTTTTTATTCTACTTTTTTACTCTTACCTTTGCAGTCCTTTTTATTTGAAAGCATAACAAAACCATTTTTACAGGAACAGTGGTAACTTCCAGGTGTGTTTTCACAAATCTGGCTGCAACCTCCATTTACATTTGCAGGATCTTTGCATTCATTTATATCTAAAAAGGAGAAAACAGAGTACTTTCAAAGTAATAAAGCCTTCTGAGAACTTTTCAGGAAGTCAGTTCAGATTGGGTATGTTATAAATACTTATACCTGCTGGGTATGCTATACATACCAGATTCACACTTTTCTCCTTGCCAACCTGATTTACAAATGCAAGTGAATGTCGCTTGGCCATCTTTGCAGCTCAAATATCCATCTTCATTGCATGGCAGAGGATTACACTGGTCTGGAATGGCTAAAGGAAATACATATCTATTTAATTTTTATAACACACCACAGTACAATAGAAATTTATGTCCTTTAATAGAAATCTCATGAACAAAGTCGGTGGTATGTGGGAAAAAATACTTAATCCTTCAAATACTATTTCAAGAAAAAAGTTGGATCTATTAAACTTTTATAACTATTTCTGCAAAAGGAAGCTACTTTTTGCTTAAATCCACTCTTTTTTAAAATCACTTTATTTATTTATTTATTTTTGGCTGTGCTGGATCTTCGCTGCTGAGCTTGGACCTTATTCTAGTTGCTGGGAGCAGCAGCTACTCTAGTGATGTCGCCCAGGCTTCTCTAGTTGCAGGGCAGAGACTGACTGTGGGCTTCAGTAGTTGCAGTTCCCAGGCTCTAGAGCACAAACCCAATAGCTGTGGTGCACAGGCTTAGCTGCTACTTGCATGTGGGATCCTTCTGAACCAGGGATCGAACCTTTATCTCTAGCATTGGCAGGCGGATTCTTTACCACCAAGCCACCAGGGAAGCCCCACAACTACTTTTATATTTGCAAATATACACAGTAGTTAATAATTGCAATTTAATATTCTTTTTATATATCACCTTATTTGATCCTTAAAACAATTTCATGAGGCAGGCAGAACAATAAAACTATTCAGTTCCAATAGAAAAATGTGAGACTTCCAATTTGGGATAACATAGAATAACAGAGGGCCTTCCCTGGTGGCTCAGACTGGAAAGAATCTGCCTGCAATGCAGGAGACCTGGGTTCGATCCTTGGCTTGGGAAGATCCCCTGGAGTAGGGCATAGCAACCCACTCCAGTATTCTTGTCTGGAGAATCCCCATGGAAAGAGGGGCGTGGTGGGCTACAGACCATGGGGTCCCAAAGAATCAGACACGACTGAGTGACGAAGCACAGAACAGAATAACAGGGACCAGATTTATTCTCCTGCTTTAAACAGACAGAACTCTAGTCAAATGGTTTTCAGACACTGGGCAACAGGCAGCAGAATACTGTGATTTTTAAGGCAAGGATATTTCTTTCATAAAACGTCACAGCACTTTATCACTATCTTAAATGATACACCCATTTGTTTCTTGATTTATTTATGGTCTCTCTAGCCTCACTAGACACTGCAATGGTTCCTGGCTCCTGCATATTCCCATACCTGTTTCTCCAGCCTTCCTAGCCAACTCTGAAAAGTCCTTTCATCTTTCCTTTTACATTTTCCTTTCCTTAAGTTAGCAAAGCAAACTGTTAATTGCAAAAAAAAACAAAAACAAAAACAAAATTTTATTTTAACTAAAATCTAATCACTGAACTTTTCAAAAAATGTCCCCATGAAAGCAAGTTTTCTGAAAATTATTAGCAATTTATTAGGTATTAGTTATGTGTGTGTGCTGAGTTGCTCAGTCGTGTCTGACTCTTTGTGACTCCATGGATTATAGCCCACCAGGCTCCTCTGTCCATGAGAATTCTCTAGGCAAGAATACTGTAGTGCACTGCCATTTCCTACTCCAAGGGATCTTCCCAACCCAGGGATCAAACCCACATCTCTTGTGTCTCCTGCATAGGCAGGCGGATTCAGTACCACTGGGATATCTGGGAAGTCCAGATATTAGTTAAAATAATAGAAAACAGGTTAGTCAAGAAATTATAAAATTATTTTTCTGTCCTTTGGTAAATTAAAAAAATAAAGTATGAATTAAATATACATGTTCAGGTGAACTGTTTTACTTGTGAAGTTACAACTAATTTTGAATTATAGAAAATGCAGATAAGTGAATATCTCAATAGTACCAATGCTGCATGTAAAATATTCACTGAACAAACATCCCAATTTACATGTTTCAATTTCACCTTTGTCTCTGCATGTCAGGAAATTGATAAACTAGAGACAAATAATTTACCAGATTTATCACTAGGCCTTATGTGAACTTCAGAGGGAAAAGGCTAATTTGATATCACAATATTTTACACATTTATGTCCACATTTATACCAAATGTGGTATACCAATAATTATACCAATAATTCCACATTTCCACATTTATACCAAAAGTCAGAAAAATAAATGTGGCTCCCCTGTGATCTATTAGTCAACTGTAACATTTGGGCATAAGTACATGATTATGCAACAACAGTCAAAAAGCTCTTGGGAATAAAATTCTGAAGCCAATGATGTAAATAAAGCTTGGCAAACAAGGACCACTTCAATTTAAAAATAAGCTAGAAAATTCATTTTAAGCACATTTACATCTAAAAACACATTCCTTCTGGGAGTTTCCTGGCAGTCCAGTGGTTAGGGATCTTCCTTGCTGTGGCCTGGGTTCAATCCCTGGTGGGGGAACTCAGATCCCACAAGCTGTGCAACATGGCCAAAACGAAAAGAATTCATCTTGTACATTTCTGATACATACACATTACATGATACTTAAAAGTTTAAAATAAGTGAATAATAAACAAATAAACACTGAAAGAAATAATTATTTGGCCAATTTGATCCAGCGCTAGAGCCATGTGGCATGCCCCTCCCCCCAAAAAAACACTATTCCTCAAATGTATTTTGAGAAAACCTCCTCACGTGGCCTACAGCCAGCTCTTCAAGGCTCATTTGTTGATTTTTAAGCCGCAGTTATATTTATACGGTATACTTTACTTGCAGGTTTTTGTCATTTTGTTTTTTAAATTGATGGTAGAAGTGTTTACCATTGACACAGCTCCTCAGGTCAGGGTAAGTATTAGTTGACAGACGCGCAGTAGTGAATAACCCAGCTCTGAAAGAGCCAAGACAACCTGTAAAAGACAAACAAGTGTCATCTTAGAGCTGATGTACTTCACTTGATTTGAAATCATGGTAGAAATTATCCAGAGCAAAAGGATATTTATGCTTCTGTGTATTGACATGATTCAGCAATCAAAATGCCAATCCTAAATGTCTCCATCCACCTTTTTGAAAAATCAAAAATCTACAAGCAAGATTGCAATATATACACAATCATAAAAAACATATTTATAGAAGCTTCTCTTTGGAAAAGAACCTTAAAGCTAGAAGGGGAAAATATCTTGGATTACCAAAGAAATTTATTGCCACATAAATCTATGTTCTTAATTCTGTAGCAGAGACCTAAAATCACCATCAAATTTGTAGACCAGAGCCTAATTTAGAAATTGTCTATTATTAAGTGAATAGAATGAGTTAGTGTTTCTGGTTGTTGTAGGCAACTTCCAATTCTTCCAATGTTGCATAGAAATTAATAAAATAATGTTTGTATCAATTAATATTACAAAGCAGGTTTACTTTATTCATTTTATTTCTCAATACAACTTTGTGAAATTAGATCCAGCCATCTGGCAGAAATAAGATGAAAAATAGAAATAAAATACGTATGGACTTTAACCAGGGGTCATTTAAGACCAACAACATAACATTTCTTAACAGCCACTGAAGACAACACTGTATATATCAGTTCATTGTACAGATAGTTGTAAATGCTCACTTGCTAAGTTCTGTCTAACTCTTTGCAACCACATGGACTGTAGCCCACTAGCCTCCTGTCCATAGCATTTCCCAGGACAGGTACAGATAGTCACTAACCCACTAAAAAGGTGGTGTTTGGTTATCTTTTGCTGAGTAAAGACTCCCAAAATTAGTGGCTTATAAAATAATCATTTTATATTACTTATGATTTATGTATCAAATATTTAGAAAGGGTTTATTTACTTAAACTGTTTGTCTCTGCTGCACACAGGACCAGTCAGGGTGGCTGGGGCTGGAAGACCCACTTTCTGGATGACTTTTCACTCACACGTTTAACAGCGCAGGCTTCTTGGCATCTCTGTCTCCACACGGTATGTGCCATGCTTCAGGGCTTCTCCACATGGTTGCGTTTCCCTGAGTACGCAGTCTTAAAGTGGCACTGCTTTCGTGGTACTTAGCTTCCAAGAGGAAGAAGAACGAAGCTGCCAGGCCAATTAAGAGGCACTGTGTCACTTCCATCACAGTCTATTGATCAAAGTGGTCTCAGGGTCCACCCAGATTTGGGGGAGGGGGAAAAGGATAGATTCCACATAGTGATGGGAAAGTGGCAAGGTGACATTGCAGAAGAATATGTGAGATGGGAAATATTTTTGCAGTCATCTTTGGAGAACACAGTTTATTACAGGTGGTGCAAAGGCTCATTTTGAAGTCTGTGTGTATATTCCTTTTCTACTGCTTTTGTGACAAATCATCACAATGTCACCAGCTCAAAATAACACAAATTTATTCTTTTACAGTTACAGGGATCAGAAGTCTAAAATCAGGGTGTTGGTAGGGCTGTGTTCCTTCTAAAGACTCTAAGGGAGAATCTATTTCCTCTGTTTCTTCAGCTTCCACAAGCTACCTGCACTCCTTGGTTCATGGCTCCAATCTCGTATCATTCTCAACTCTTGCTTTATTGTCATATATATCTTACTACCAATCTGATCTCCTGCCTCCCTTATATAAGAACATTTATAACTATACTAAATAATGTCCTCATCTCAAGATCCTTAACTTAAAAATAACAAGGTAACATTCAGAGGTTCTAAAGGTAGGTCATGAATATTTTTGGAGGAGGGCAGTCACTATTTAGCCTACCAAGGTAGGTTATAATGTTTTCCCATAAAAACAATACTTTATACTTACATTGTAGTCTTTCTGGAGACCTAGGCAATCTTAGGTCTTGAGTATTCTTTCCCTGAATTCATTTGTTCCTCCTCTTGAATCACCCACTCTCAGAATTATCTTACTCTAGTGTAAACATTTCATTAGGATTCTGGCTTGTAAGAAAGCCTCATTTTGCAGTTCTGGACAAATCTGATAGCCAAAATTCGAAATCCTTAAGCTAGAGACTCAGGTGAAATGCTTCATATGATGATTAGGACCCCAGGCCAGACCACAAAGTACGTTTAACCCATAAACCACCTTATATACGAGTCCTTACTAATACACTGATAACATTTTTTTGGAATTTTTTTTTTCTAAATTTTTTAGAATTACAGCGTGAAGAGTGAGTTGCCTGGTTACTCAAAGCAGTGTAATCCTATCCCTTACTTTCCCATTTCTCCTTCTTGTTGTCCAACAGGAATGCGGGAAGTGGGAGAGAATGAGTAGAAAGGTGAGAACTGGAAAGAGATCGTATTAGCTTTTGTAGACTGAAGCAGAAGCTCTCCCAAGAACTGGAACTAGGAATAGAAACTTGGGCCATCATGGAGGGAAGCCTAAGAAAGAGGCACTTTCAGGAAAAGTTCAAGTGGTCAGGACAGAACACACTAGAAAGAAATCTTGGTTCTAGACTATGACAGCTCCTATACCCATATTGTCATATGATTATCTTTTGTAACATTTTATGATTATATTTTATTTTATCATCTTTATTTTATGATTATAAATCCAATCTGTGTTGGGTTTATAGTAGTTCCCCCCTTTAATCTACATTTTGTGTTTTGGTATTTCTTCTTTCCCTTTTTTTCTTTTTCCTTGTTTCTTCTTGCCAGAGGTTCATCTAACTTACTTCCCTTACTTTGCCTTTTCGAAGAATGAGATTTTCCTCTGTTAATCCTCTCTTTGTTTTCCATTTAACTTATTTCCACCCCTATTTTTGTTATTTCCTTATTTTTTTGTTACTCAGAGTTTTCTCTGTTGTACTTTTAAGAATTTGCTTGATGTAAATGCTCAGGTTCTTTTGAAAATACCCAAAGTGTCCTCTTAGCAGAAGTCAGCACCCCAGGTCTCCACAGACACAGTGGGTCAGGCAGCCTTCAGTCTATCCATGGACTTCTCACATTTCTTGACCTTTTTTTCCATTATATTTTGTTATTATTAGTGCCTGGAATAGCTATTGTTTCTTTTGAGACGATTTTAAGAGAAGTCAGCAGTCTGAACTAATCCACCAGTTTGGCAAGAACTAAAAACTAAAAGCTATTTCTGATGTTTACATTTTGGCTCAGAATGTAGCATTCTTCCCAAGAAGTTTTTCTCTCATAAATTTAATCATCCATTTAATCAGGTGATATTTTACAGGCCTACACAGATGGCAGAGTTGTTTGCTCTTTTCTAAGGAAAAGAACACAATTTAAAAACTTACCTTTAAAAAAAAATAAAAATAAAAAGTTAGCTTTATATAATGAGGCCCTGAGTATTTTTGCCCAAATTCCATGGTTTCAGTGCAGTGCATGGAGGATGTGGATAGACTAACATGTTTCCTGAACTCTTACAACTCTAAATGCAAACACTGTCCAAAAAATACGTAATAGGGATCTAATTTCTTGGATGACATTATCTCACTGTAAGGAGCTCCCAGCATGAGCTGTGGTAATTACTGAAATTACTATTAGGTTTACCAGAGACAGGATTATAAACATTTCTTTTTCCCAATTAGGAACACTGGCCTACAAAATATACACATCAAAGGACAAAAAGGTTTTAACTAAGGTAGAGCATTTCTGTTCTCAATGGTGGAATTCATCACATATAACCAAATAAAGACCAAAATATAAAATGTCAATCAAAAATAAGTCATAGTAAAAAAAGTCATACTTTTTTTTTCAACTATATAAATCGGTTGAATTCTACTTTACATCTGAAGAAAATTCGACATAATTTTTAAAAAATCTATCTAATTCATGTGTTTATTTGGTATTCCCAATAGCTCTGAAGTTAGAAAATAAAGTTATAACATAATGTAATACAGAAACTAAAAAGTTAAATAAGTTGCCTAATCTGACACAGCTGAAACTTTTAGGCCTGAGACTACAGCCCACATCATATTATTATTATTTTTCTTAGGACTTTGGCTTTTCTATTATGCTGCCAAATAAGATAGGCAAAGAAAAGTGAAAGTTGGCTACATGTCTTTAAAAAAAAAGACAGCAAGGATAGCAAATCTGCATACAGAATGAGATCTTACTCCCAAGGCTAATGAAATTGTACGGGGTGGAATATATATAAATGGAGGATTGGACCTTATCATAGTTAAGTTTCTATCATTTCTAAGATTATATGATTGAGATCCTTTAAACTTACCTAAATATTTTGGATAAAAATATTCCTAGAAAAAAGAAAAGAAAAAATATACCTTAACAAAGCTAAATTTCACTATAAAGTTAACATTTAATTTTAAAACATGTTTTTATAGTAAAGATGCAATAAATTACATATAACTGTCATTTTCACATTACAATATAACATTTTTTCTATTGTAAAAGGTATACCAGAAGTATATGGCTAATAGCATTAAGACAATAAAATGCTTTTAGGCTTAAAGCAATACTGATCAATTAAATCATGCTTCAAAGAATTCTAAACTGAAAACAGGTTCCATTGAAGATGTTAAATGTGACTACATATGCCCCCTTTTTGTAAATCCTTTAATTTTTCCATGATGATTAGATACCCATTTGATATATTTGACATCATGTTGATTACACATGCACTAGATTAATTGCTGAATAACATAATTTGAATTGAAGTGGACATTTATCTTTTAGCATCTTATGTACATGCAATACCTTACTTATAAACTGGTGATGTACCAATAAATTTATCTGTAAATCAGTAATTTGGACTAAGGAATACACTTTACCAAAAGGAGAAAAATGTTAACAATGAATTTCTGATGGAAAGGTCCCAGGCTGCTTCACAAAAGCCTTCTTAAACCATAAAATATCTAATAGCATAAGAACTCCTCATGAGAAGCCAACGTTTCTACACAAAAACAACCTCAAGTACAGAGCATAACTTTCATCCAGGATACAATTAAAGTCCTTATTCCTTCCTCCTCTCACATATAAACCTACACAACACTTATCTACTAGTTTCTAAGAATGAGATCCAACCACTAAGCAATTCAGACATTGATATTGTCCTCTATAGCAGCGATACCCAATCTTTTTGGCACCAGGGACCAGTTTCATGGAAGACAATTTTTCTTCCAGACCAAGGGAATGGGGATGGTTTCAGGATGATTCAAATGTATTACGTTTATTGTGCATTTTATTTCCATTTTTATTACTTCAGTTCTACCTCAGATCATCAGGCATTAGATCCCAGAGGTTGGGGAACCCCTGTTCTACAGAAAAAAGCCAGGACATAGGTAATGATGAATGGGTTCAACATGAGATAATGTAATGGGGAAAGGACTACATGGGGGGATAAGCAAAAAGGTGGTGACTGGGAGTGTGGACTAGGGTATGAGGGATGTAGACAGGGAGTGTTTGGGAACGGAAAGAAAGTCAGAAACAATAACAAATGCTTTTTCTTTCATTTCTCCCATTTTTCCTCACTCTCACCATCATCTCTTTTTCTTCTATCAGTAACACCATTATCAGAATGAGTGGAGGAGAGGAAGTATATAAATGAGTTTCTTTTCTCCACTCTTTCCCTCCCCTCCATGCGTCTTCTGTCTCATTGGCCATTTGCCACTCAGAGGTTAAACTATGAGAACATATTTAGTGTCAGAAATACATGCTTAAGGACTGATGGGTGATATAATAAAATGAAATCTTGGGCACGCAGGCTTGTCTTAAAATGTTCTGGCAAAACAAAACAAAAATTAGAGTGAGTGGGGTACAGAATAGTCAGGACAAGAATAGCAGATGGTTGATAATCACTGAAAAGGGAAGCTTAGTCGCTACTTTGGGATATAGTTTCAGTTTCCATAATAAAAAGAAACATTTATGTATATGTGTGTGGTGTGTGTACTTGCTTCCTACACAGTAAGAGTACACTGTTACCTTGTGTGAAATAAAATATTTTTGCCTTGTCAATTGCTTTTCCACAAAAGACAGCAAAACTAAGAGAAACATTTGGTTTCAATCTTGGAGAGTGTTAAAAATGGGTACCTTGGGAAAAATTCCCTTTGAACCTATTAGAGTATGTGGAGGTAAGAGGATTAAAGGGTAATCCCAGAAAACACAAGTTATTACTGTTCTGGACAAGTTCTCTCACTATAGACAAATGGTTCCTGCTTGTTACCGCTTATCTAGTTTCATGGTCCCAGGAGCTAAGTCAGAAGTAAGGGAAGTATTTGAAGACACATATGCAGATACACATGCCTCCCTTGTTTTCTTTTGGATATACAGTTCATTCCAGGAAAAAAAATCTAGAGTAGCCCCAAAGGTCATCAAATTTTAATGCTCAAGGTCACCCTCATCCTAATTCTTAGAGGCACTATTTATATTCTTGCTACCCACAGAACAAGTTAGAGAAAGGCTTCTCTAGGAGAATTAGGGGGCTAAAGATAAGGTCTAAGGGTCTCTTATTTCTGTAAGCTATTTAGGGATCTTTAGAGTTTTCTAGACTAACTTGGAAAAATGTATGCACTAAAGATATAAATTCTACCCCTGGGATTATTGATGATTTAAAGTGGGCTCAGGAAACTTCCCAAGAGTTTATTGAATAAATTAAGAGTGTTCTTAGGAAACACAGTATTGAAATGAATTCTTCCGTAAGCATTCACTGAATACCTATTATGTACCAAGCTCTGAATTAGAGGTCCTGTTTTCTAAAGCTTAGTTAAAAATGCCAATGGAGAGAATTAATGAAGCATAGTGATAACGATGTAGTTACACACACACATACACACACACTAGAGATGCCTTCCCGTCACCCAACAGTACAAAATACTGGTTGGGAGAAAGTAGTTACAAACCATGAAATTCATGCTATTTGTGATAATTAGGTATAACCGAGTTATAGTTTGGTCAGCGCATACTGCTTTTGGCAAATAGTATTTCCCTAACAAGCCCACCCTTGAAGGTACTTCCTCCTGAAATGCTTCAGTGGGAAAATGCAGGAGGTGATACTGTTGTCGTTGTTCAGCTGCTAAGCTGTGTTCAACTCTTTGGGAGCCCATGGACTGCAGCCCACCAGGCTCCTCTGTCCACGTGATTTTCCAGGCAAGATTACTGGAGTGGTTGCCATTTTCTTCTCCAGGGGATCTTCCCGACCCAGGGATCAAACCCGCATCTCCTGTGTCTCCTGCACTGGTGAGTGGACTGAGCCCACAGAAGGTGACAAACACAATCATTAACTTTAAAAAGGAACACAAGGGAACGCAGACTAAAGCTAGAAATGTTCCGTCTGTAGCTATATGTCTAAGTATACTAACTGAGCGCTTTTCATGAGTTCTTACCGTTTCCGGGTTATTTTCAAAGACTTCCCTGGCTTCTTCTTTATTGCACAGTTCTTCAATGCATTCTCTTTCAAGATTGCCTTTTTTCGTTTCTTCAAGCAATGAATTTGCACGGCGTCTCCTAACCAGGACTTGTGAAGCATGTTGCCTTGACAAAACTGAAGGAACAAAATATGTTTACATGAACAGATCTTTCATTTCTCCACCTAAAATATTTTTTAAACATGAGAATTTAAATAATTTTTTGGCTGTAAATTGCATGACATTCAAAGTAGGGTTAAACTGAGGGGGAAAATGCAGTTACATATGCCCCTTGGTTAACAACCCAAAGAGCAGTTTGGTGTGTAGCTGGAGCACTTATCTAATGATTTACACAAATTGTTCAAGTTTATGCTTGAGGCCAAATATAACTAACGAAATTCAATGTTTACCTCATTATGACTGTTGGAAAAAGCATCATGCTGAAATGATTGTCAAAAGTCACATAGCCACAGCATCTTTAAAGTTAGAGTAACAAACCTTGTCAGTTTTAATGGAAAACTTGTGTGATCTCTGAGAAATGTAGGAGTACAGTCCAATCAGCTATTTGAAAGATACTTGATAGGCTAAAACACCTGGTTATCTATACAAACAAGAAAATAAAAACCCATGGCAAAAGGACGACCGTATGCAAAGCACAAAATACAGAAGGCAAAGAGAAAAAAAATGGTAACTTTGAGTATATAAAAAATTTAAAGCAGTTGACGATGATAAAAATAACAAAGTTCAACATCAAGCAACAGATTAACAACTAGAATTTATAAACAAATTTTGCAAATTAAATAAAAAATTATACAATATGGCAACCAATACAGGTATGTGTGCAGTGTATATGTGTGCTCAGTCATTTAGTAGTGTCCAGCTCTTTGCAATCTTTTGGACTGTAGCCCGCCAAGCTCCTCTGTCTATGGGATTCTCCAGGCAAGAATACTGGAGTGGGTTGCCATTTCCTCCCCCAGGGGATCTTCCCGACCCAGGGATGGAACCCGCCATCTCCTGTATCTCCTGCAATGTCGGCTGAAAGTAAAGAAGCCATGTGTGCAAGGTTAAAAACAAAATAAAAACTGTAAATAAAATATAAACAAAACAATATGGAAACGTCACTACAGAGAAAAGTTAAAGTAGCCAATAAACATGTGAGAAGATGTTCAACACAAATTTTTTAAAGCAATCAGACTTTTGCCTAATAGATTTGCAAAAATGTAAAAGAAGGAAGATACTACTGCACTGAAGGTCTCCAAGGTATATTATTAAATTGAAAAGTGCAAATTATAGATGCCTCATGTATAGCATAATCCTATACATACCAGCCATACTTGTAGATGTGTAAATATCAGGTGGACAAACACAGAGAAAAGAGTTTGGAAAGACACTCAAGCTATCATCTGCAGTTATATTTGAAGAAAATAGTGAAAAATATAGTTTGGGCTTTATCATTTTAGTATATGAATAGAATATTGTTTCTTAATGAAAAAATTTTAAATCACATAAGATCTACAAACAAATTTTTTAATCCTGATTTTTAAGCTTATCTTTCACTAGAAAGATAAGCAAATAACGTAAATAACTAGATTACTTTTTCTCTTATTTCTCTCATAACCCAGCATATAATAAGGAATAGAAAAATCAAAAGTTGACAATAGAAAGAAGAAAAAGAACAGCAAAAGGACTAAGTAATCAACACTTACTATAATTATGAGTTGGATAATTGAACACCTTTCAAGAGTGATTTATGTTTATTTATTTTAGTTTTATACGGGTTTCCTCACTTACAAAACAGAAGTTTAAATGTGATAATTAACTAACAAAGGTGTTTGAGTTACATCGAATATTTTTACAAAATCTCTCATAATTTTTACTGCTGCTCAAGATCAAGATAAATTAAGGCTGTGTGCATCTAAAAGATGCTATTCTGTGAGCATGCCAGCCTCCAAGTGCATTGCTAACTGATAAATGGCAGCCCAACCAACAATGAAAGGGTGTGAGATTAAAATTAACTTATTTATTTGAAATAGTCTTAAGCATGCTACTTGATAATAAATATAGCAAAAACTTGGCCTTTCTGAAAAGAAGAAAGCTTTAGTCATTCAGTCATATCTGACTTTTTGTGGCCCCATGGACTATAACCCACCAGGTTCCTCTGTCCATGGGGATTCTCCTAGAGATGATGAAAATCCAGAGCATACAAGATCTTTGCTCTAAGTTATTAAGCTTATAAACAAAAAAAGTACAACTTAGATCATAGGCACCCCAATGCTCAGACCTGCAACCATCCACTACTATTTGCTACTGCTTCTCAGAAAAGAGGGAAAAGTTTCATTATCTCTGATAATGAGAGGAATATTAAAAATGAAAATGTTACACCTCTGACCTAAAGGATAAGAAAGATAATAATTTAAAAAGTGATTCTGTCTAAATAAATTTTGTCTGAATTTGCAAGTTTTAGTTTACCTAGGTTCAACCCAATAATACTTTCAACTGGGATAGTGTGCAATAACTTTCAAGTGCATATTAGTGATTTCATTTGATCCTACATAAATAACAAAATATGCTACAGGATAGAATTATCACTTCCATTTTCTTATTGAAGAAACTGGAGCTGAAAGAAGTTACATGTATTTTTCAAGATCATAGAGCTACAAAGTGGTGCTTTTTAAAAAATTTTTAAAATTTTTTAAAAATTATTTTTAAAATTTATTTTTGATTGGAGGATAATTACTTTACAATATTGTGTTGGTTAATACCATACATCAACATGCATCAGCTGTAAGTACACATATATCCCTTCTCTCTTGAGCCTCCATCTTGAATCCCCCTCCCACATCAAGCCATCCCTCTAGGTTGTCACAGAGCCCCAGTCTGAGTTCCCTGAATCATAAAGCAAATTCCCACTGACTATTTTACATGTGGTGGTGCATATGTTTCCATGCTCCTCTTTCCATTTGTCATTCCCTCGCCTTCCCCCACCATGTCCATAAGTCCGTTCTCTCTATCTGCATCTCCACTGCAGCTCTGCAAATAGCTTCATCAATACCATCTCTCTAGATTCCATACATATGCACTAATATATGATATCTGCTTTTCTCTCTCTGGCTTACTTCATTCTGCATAGTAGGCTCTAGGTTTAGCCACCTCATCAGAATGGACTCAAATGTGTTCCTTTTCATGGCTGAGTAACATTCCATTGTATATATGTACCACAGTTTCTTTATCCACTCATCTGTTGATGTACAGGGGACAAGAATTTAAATATATCTATCCTCCAGTGCTCTTTCTTCTATGCATTCTACCACTTAAATGCCCACGATGGACTGGATTAAAAAAAATAAATTAGGTGGTTGCATAGTGGACACATTTGGTATCTTATATAAGACATGTATTTTTAGTTATAAAATCAACCCACTCATCTAACAGAATGTGTTTTCAAAGGAATCTACCATTCCTTGTCAAAAAGATATAAATGTGACATCACAGATCCAAACTAAAACTACAGAACTGTAGGATGAGACAAATATATGTTCTGAAGTGTTCATATCACTGGCTCAAAGTCTATCTGTCCCCAAATATCTATCCTGATGGCATGCAGGAGTGTCTAAAAAGTTTCATAATATTCTTAATCGTAAGATTCTTAAATCATTATGATTCTTAATGATAATATTAAGTATGGCACCATAAGCACATAAATGCTTTTTTTGTATTATCTCCTATTAACCCTATCTCACTGTTAAACATACAATAAACTAAAACTCAGAGAAGTGGAGTTTAATCTTACCAAATTCACATAACTGAGAACAAAGTTCATCAAGCCTGGCTCCAAAACCCATCCTCTTTTTGCATCAGCACATTGTCTCTAATCATTTGGTTCACTTCTTTTAGATTCAGAAGTTTTTCAAGAAAATCCTTGTGAAAAGCTAACTAACATGCTTGAAAAGTGTTACATTCAGATTTAAATTTTTAGGTTACGTTTAGTTATGGGTAGTCCAAGATTAGAAACATGACTGAATCTGCTTGATTTTTTACCTTATCTGAGTCATCCCTTCACAATAACAACCACAGAAGCTGAACAATTATGTCAATAACATAACCTCTGACTCCCTCAATGTTTTCTGTGGGAGCAAAAATTTTTTTCAGCATATATTTGATTAACAACAAAAATTAATTTATTGTTGTTGGTACATACTTCATTTAACACCTGTCATAAGGATAGTGGAGTTAGCATTGCCTCCGTGGTGGTGGTGGTTTACTTTCTAAGCCATGTCCAGTTCTTTGAGACCCCATGGATCATAGCCCACTAGGCTCCTCTGTCCATGCGATAAGAATATTGGAGTGGGTTGCCATTTCCTTCTCCATGGGATCTTCCCCAACCAGGGATCACACCCACAGAACTACATCTCCTGCAGGTCAGGCGAATTCTTTCACAGCTGAGCCCTCACGGAAGCTCAGCATTGCCTCTTCTCACAGGAAAATTCCCTCACTGTTCAATTCAACTTGACCTACATCAAGAGTTAAAGAAAAACGTTAAAAGCCCCTTTTCCACTTAGGTGTCCAAGCCTGCTATCTTCTGTTTAGAGGGGTCAGAACTGCAGTTTGTCCGAAACCAATCAGTCAGATGTAGGTGAGGTGGCAGGTGGAGGAGACCCAAACTTCAGGCTGGTTCATCCTCTGAATCTCTTTCATTCTGCTCTCTTACCTTTGCAGAGATAGTTCTCACATTCCTCCCTCCTAAAACTCGTATTTTTAAATTCTGCTTTCTGTCTCTTCTTTTAGCCCCTCTTGGCATCCCAAGAATGAAAAAGTGTCCCTAAAAGAACGGATCTGAGAAGGGAATTTTAGGCTAGCGTTTGGTTTGGCAGAGTGTTTGAATCTTTGTTTCTTCTTCAGCGTGGGACAGGGTCAGGGAAATGGCATCCAGTGTACAAACAGAACAATTAGATAACACTTTGAGATGTAATTGTGCCTCCCATCTCTCAAATGCTGAAATGGCATGTTTTGCTTACACATAGACTGCGAAAAATAGAATTGCTATTTTTGATTGATATAGGAAGTTGCTATTTTCCAAATGATATAGAAAAACCATTAGTTAATAATGATGGGAAATTTTATTTTACAAATTTTATTTTAAATAATCACATGTTTGAGGGAGAAAGGATACATGTGTATGTATGGCTGAGTCCCTTTGCTGTTCACGTGAAACTACCACAACATTGTTAATCTGCTATATGCTAATATAAAAGAAAAAGTTTAAAGAGTGAAAAAATTAATCATCACATATTAAGTGTAAAAATCTTTGATTTTTATTATAAAGATTTATACAATAGAATATTTACAATTGAGGAGGGGTATTAAAAATATGAAGGTTGCAAGGACTAAGAAAAAACCAAAGATAGATTTTTAATTAGGCATTCATCAGGCTACATAATTATTACAACTTTCAGAAAAGCTTGTGTTAACCTTAAGAAACAAATGTTATGTTTGTACATATGTTATACGTCTATTCTTTTAAAGTAAAGTTTATTTTTTTTTAAGAGAGCTAACATACTAGCTAATACACTTCTCTACATTTCACATTTGTTTCTTACTAAGGTCCAACTATCATATCTGTACACCACTACCAGAAAAACCATAGCCTTGACTACACTGCTGAGCAACTAATTCTTCTGATATTGTTATATTAAGGATTGGAAAAACATTTTAAAAAGTATTCTGTAAAGGTGAACCATGCTCTGTCTTTCAAGAGGACTAATCAATGAAAAGGCTGACAAGAAACAATTTAAGAGAATAAAATACTGTAAGAGGTAGGTCTGTAAGTAAATGAAAGTCACTCAGTCATGTCCAACTCTTTGTGACCTCATGGACTATACAGTCCATGGATTCTCCAGGCCAGAATACTGGAGTGGGTAGCTTTTCCCATCTCCAAGGGATATTCCCAACCCAGGGATCGAACCCAGGTCTATCACATTGCAGGCGGATTCTTTAACAGCCGAGCCACAAGGGAAACCCAAGAATGACTGGAGAGGGTAGCCTATCCCTTCTCCAGCGGATCTTCCCGACCGGGAATCAAACCGGGGTCTCCTGCATTGCAGGTGGATTCTTTATCAACCGAGCTATATGGGAAACCCTAAGAGATAGGTCTGGATAAGGTTTAAATCTGGGAAAGAAGAAGAGGAGAAAACCTGTGAATTATATAGTATGCATATAAAGGTGAGTTTTATAACATTTGGGTTAGGAGAAATAAGGGTTGGCATTTATTCAGAAGTAGGAAAGCAGTGGCATTTTAAAAAATGTGATCATTGACCCCCCCTTCTAGAGCAGAT